TCAGGTACCAGTGGTAAAAGCTTGATTGCCTCCAAGACTATGGCAGTTTTAACATGGGCTTCACCTGGGTCCCTCATCTCTGCGTCTTAGTGCTGCTCTCCCAGACTTGAACTTGCACCAAAGTCTATGTTGCTTGAGTATAACTTAATTGCTTTACTTTTGTGAACATAGTCCCTAAGTGTACAGGAAAAATGTGGTTTGATCCTAGTTGTCCATCTGACGGTGATAATGCTGTGAGGACGCCTGTTCCCTCAACTGCTGTAGCTGAGTTTCAGGAGGAACCTCTTTCATTTTAGTTTGCATTTTATCTCCTGTAAGTCTTGAAACTCTATCTTGTCCATGCATCTCCTAGCATAGTGTTTCTCACGGCCGGAGTCTCAAGTCGCTGGGTCCCGTCAATGGGAGGAGTTGCAGCCTGCTGCGCAATGCTGCTGCCAGGTCGGAGCCGTGACTCCGGCAGCAGCTGGGGGTCAGCCCTCCTGGTTGCTCTGCGAGGTAAGACAGGCTGCAGCCTGCAGCAAGCTTCCCCATCCATCTGCTCTTTATAACTGTTTTTTTTTTTTCTAGTTTTTTTTTCTGCTTTTCATTGTTGTGTGTGTGCTTGGATCCTGATTTGCAGCTTGCGGTGCAGCTCTCTGTTTTCTGTGTCTGCTGACAGACTCTTGCTGGATTCCTACTCTTTGTTAGCTGGTTAAAAAGAAGAAAGAAGAACCATTTGGGAGAGAAGTCTACTTAAATAAATGCAGTAGGTTAGATGGTTCTTTGCTCTTTTGGTCATTGGGGTTTTGCTTTCTTCTGAAGTAATGATGAATTGAAGTCACAAGGTTTGGAGCAAGAGACAAACTCTTTGAAAAGCTGATTATATTCAAGTAAGACATTAATCCTGATTTTTGTCTCAGTACTGTCTCTGCTGTAGATAATTGTCATCTAGAAGGTTAATTTAGTATTTTTGTCCTTGTTATAGGCAGAGTTTGAGATTAGTGTAAACCAAAAAAATATCTTAAAAGTTAGTAAGCCCAAGACATTGTATGTGTTTAATGAGGCCTGCTCCCAAGATGCTTAGGTAATTCACACCCAGTCTCTCTGAAGTTAATTATGTGCTAGTATACAAAGCCAAAATCCTTATAAAGTAACTTCCTTACAGATGTTACTATGAACTTACTAAATCTTGTGATGCATCATCAGTCTTGTTGGTATCAGCTAGAGAGAAGGGCTCTGAGCAACACCGAGGACTAGGCACATCTTAAGAATTCATTATGAAAAGGAATTTTTAACTATTTTGCTGTGCCTTTCCATTGTATGATTTTAAATGTATAGCAGACAGTATTCTCCGAGGCTTCATACAATAAAGTGTTTGTTAGTTGTTTAAATTTGGACTTTGTGCAGGGCTTTCTAATGTATATATTGGGTGGTAGATATAAATATTCATATTTGGCCTGCTCTTACACAAAGTTGGACTACCCCATCAGTCTCTTGTCTGTTCTGCTGTGTTGCTAGTCACTACTGTGTGGGAATGGGGCTCCAATATATTTTTTGAGTACTATATCAGAATTGCCTCCCCACCCCCAGCAGAGCGACTTTTCGCATAAGATTGAACTGCTATTTTTCTAATCTCTTAACGAAATCTTTCTTGGCATGTTCAGTAGGTCACTATGAATAATGTGCTTTTCCGTTTGGCAGCCAGACTGGAAAGCTGGGGGAAGGGGAAGCAGAGAGGTAGAGATCGGAGAGAAACCAGCACTTTCCTTTTCTTACAAGACCCAGCAAAAGCCAGCACTTTGTTCTGATGGCATTCATCCCTTTCCCACCCGAGACCTTGATGCCTCTGAGAAAAACAGTGGATGAAGAGGTCTAAACTCACCAGGCTGCAGCAGTGAGCATCACGGCATCCTGGCTTTACCCCAGGTTTAGGGGGCAATAGGTTGGAGACAAAGTGAGGGCATGAGAATACCCTTGTCCAAGGTTGGGGAACCTTCCCCATGGATGTTTAGATGTCAAAGCAAAGTGGAAGAGGAGCAGAATGCTCCTTATGGGACAGGGCTTAGCCAGGGTGGTGGGGCTGCCCTCCGAAGGAGGGGTTCAGGTGAAGGCTGATGTTGAGTTTATTTTGTGCTCCACATGGTAGGAGTGGTGGGTACCCCTCACCTGGAGCTACTGGAGAACTTACAGGTCTGAGCACCAGTCCTGAAACTGTTCTCCAGGCAGGTCCATCAGCTGGAGCTCCCAGGTGAGACTGCTTCCCTGTCCCACCCCAGTAAGCACACTGCTCACAGAGGAAGCACGGCGGCATGGTGGCAGGGTTTGGGATTTGGCCCTCTTTGTGCATAGGCTCTGGTTCTTGGCTGTTGTAAAACCGAGCGACGCTTCATGTGTGGCAGCTACACAGGTCCCAGCTCTGCGCAGGAGAGATGCTGGTCAACTTCAGCAGTCTCTACGGGAGGCACCGGCCTGTCTGGAAATCAGTTTGGCCCCGGCTGGTTACAGTGGGAGCTCGAGGGAGACATGGTGTCTGCATCGATTCCTATCCCCCTCTCCTCCCGGCTCACCAGCCCCTACTCTCTACAGCTGCTTTGCAAGAGTTCACGTTACCTGTACTTTATCTTCTTCGCTGTGATGCTGCTGCCCCCATGGGATTTTAAACAGCCGGGCTGATGCAGTTCAAGTAGGGATGGGGGCCGAGAGCTGCGCCAGCCCATAGTGATTGATGGGACTGCGCCGGGAAAGCAGCGCTCGCTCCCTCAGCCCCTGGGAGAATGCAGTTTGCCGGCGGTGGAGTGCCGGGGTCCTCCGCTCCATGGGAGAAGGGGGAGATGGAGGGTGGGTGCCGGGGCTGCGGTGCTGGGGCAGCCCCCGGGGGTGAACCCCTGGGGAGAGAGGGAGCGAGCGGGTGGGGGACGCTGTGGGGCAAGTGCTCTGCGACTGAGTAAACGCACGTGCTCTGTGTTTGCAGAGGCGCCGCAGAGCGTCTCTGAACTTGTCACCCAGCTCCTAGGAGTCTGGTAAATCCTACATCTTTGTGTGTGCTCAGTCACCTTCTGTACCCCGAAAAACTTCTGGGATCACACTGCCTTGTGGCAGGCTTGATGACCTGTGTGAAGTGTTTCCTCACTTGGGTGGAAATGGGTGTTGCTAGCTGCAGTTGATCCCCTCACTGCTTTTTGGGAGGGTACTTTAACCAGTGACTGCCCTTTTACCCTCCTAATGCCATTCATACCCTTATAGATCTATAGTATATCTTGCCACTGTTCCTACTCCAGGCTGAAGGCCCTCGTTGGCTTGCTCCTCTTACCAAAGTGGCTTCTTTCATGACTCTTGTCTGCCTCCTCCTGCTTTCTCCCTAAATCTCCACATCCATCTTACTAAAAGGGCAGCTGCAACAGCACATACAAGATACAAATGCACCGTGGATTTATAGGTTGCCATACAATGTTTTCTGTTTCCTTCCCTATTCCTTCCCTACTAATACCACTGTTCTGGGCTGCTGCTGGCCACAAAGCTGCTGCTTTCACCCCACTGCCTGCCCTGCCAGCGTTGCTGGGCCGTACTGGGAAAGCAATTGCTGGGATTGTTTCCCACCCCACACCATGTTTACGTTCACTCATGTTTATCTGCTTTGACCAGACCCTGCTGGCTTGCCTGGCCCTAAGGCGGCATGGCCGGGGTGGTGTGTTCCTTTCAGCACGCCGTGGCCATGCCCAAGCACTGTTGCCTCCTGCCAGAACAGGGACCCCGAAATGCAGTGCGTGCTTCCAGCTACCAACCGAGCCCCGATGAACTTTCTTAGTTTCAGTGTTTTCTTGTAGCGGCAACATTCCCTTTTTCCTCACATGCAGGAAGGCAGATGACTGCTTGCCTTTGCCCTGTAGCAAAGAGCTGATGAATCATTTCCTTTTCCATATTTTAGTAAAATTGTGTTGTTCAGAGCTCATCTAGAGTGTTTTAATGTTTCGAGCACTTGCACTCTTCTCTCTGCTCTCTTCCTGCAATTGTCCGAAGGCTGGATTTTTTTGTCTTCTTCCCACCAGTTGTTACTTGCTTAGCAGTGTTGTGGGTGGGTTTGTCTCTATCAGTGCAAATTAATTTTTTTCCTCATTTTCTAGTCACCCTTTTTATTTTTATTGTACTTTGGTGTCAGTGCAGTTGTAAAGCATGAATATGTATTTCTACCAGCCAGAGTGATCTTCTACATAAAGGAAACCAAGGCAGTGCTACTTATACCTTTAGAACTTGAAGATTTTGCTCAGTTGAGTATAAAGCTAGGGTTGTATTAAAAGGAAAAAAAAATAGTTCAGACTTTTGCATAACTGACTCTTATTAATGCTGGGATTTCTGCATGGTGAGACACTGCTTTGTGTGTTTGGCTGTTTGAGAGGGAAATTGGTATGTCAGCAGAGAGAGATGTGTTGCTCTTAATTAAATGGGGCTGGATACATCATTAGAGGCCCCAGTTTTGATTTAAATACTGGCTGCAGTGGGGGTAGTTCTGTATAGAAAATGGAGATTGGCTTGACTTGTATGTATTGCTCCTGGGTTGGCAAAATAAGGAGATGAAGGGACAGCGTGATTTATTGTCTAGACACTAGAAGAGGCCTTGGAAAGAGGTGCATTTTCAGCATTCCTATTGTAGTCTACACAATAAGCTAAATTAAGTACCAATATGTAAACCCAAGGAGCAAGGAAAAAAACATGGAGTTTGCTTAAGGGTGCTGATTACATAGATATCTCAGCATTAAAAAAAAAAAAAAAAAAAAAAAAAAAAAGAGGAGGAAAAAAGAGGCAGGCAGGGCACTGAAAGGGGGAAAGCCTGGTACCCAGCGAGATACCTGTGTTGTGAAGTGCGTAACTAGGAGTCAAGGTTTTTTCCCAAAGCTCCTCTTTCCTGATGCTGATTTGTATCTGCCCTTATTGTTATCTGTTGTGTTCACATGTTGTTTTTTTTTCTTTTGTTAGTCTGTTTTCCTTCCTTGTTTTTAAAGAATAGCTTATCTGTATGCCCCAGAAGGGTGTGACTCAGAAAGATCACAAGCTTTTTACAGTGAGCTAAAGCCAGACTGCTGACTACAAGAAAATACACTGAGGTTTTCAACCACGAGTGCCACATTGCCTTTGCAAAAGGCAGCGATCGCACCGAGATGCTTGCTGGTGGGACTCGGGCGGATCCGGAGAGTCCTTTTCCACCACTGACAGGCAAGTGTACTTACAACATCATCTCATCTTGGAGAATCTCTGCTTTTGTCTTTCATTGCTCTTTGTCTCTGCTGCCCTATGCTGTGAAGGACAGGAGCAGTGGGACACAGAGGTGTTCCTGGACGTGTTGGTCACATGTACACAGTGACCAGAGCTTAAATCTTGGAGTTGGAAAATGAGCTTTCATCTGAGCTCTGCTGTGATGTGAGTGACCTGGGACCTGTCACATAAGGCCTTGTCACTTGTCACCTGCTTCCTTGTGTACATTAACTGTGCATACATGCATATTTCATTGGGTTATTGCAAAGCCTGTGGAAGATTGAACTCATTCTGTCGAGGTCTTAGAGTATACCCTTCGTGTTACTGAGGCTGCAATAGGAGAAGGAAGGCACCGATTTGTCTGTTTTTATTTTTTGTCAGGAAGCTTTGCAATGGATGATGGAACAGACTCTCTGATGATTGTGCATCTTCTCGCCAATTCGGGACACTCATTGCTTCTGCAGCAAACTGTGGATCGGCTTTTGGAGTGGATCTGCCCAGATATTCACCTTTTCCTGGTGTCTGAGAGAGTTACTCCATTGAAATATTATGAGAGATATCATAAGAGAAGCTGTGGCTTTCCTGGAATATCTGTTCTCCTTTTTCTCCATGAGGACTTGGGAGAAGAACGGATTTTCCAGGTCTATGAGCAGTTCCAGCGTCCGCCCTGGCGCTACCAGTGTGCCCAGATTGCTAATGGGCAAAGCCATCCCTATGGCCCAGCTCACCAGGACTTCTACAGCCTGGACAACCAGATGCCTGTGTGGGGCATCAGGCGGGTCCACTGTGGCCCTGAAATCCTGCGTGTCACCATCTACTGCAGTTTCGATAACTATGAGGATGCAGTGAGACTCTACGAGATGATTCTACAGAAAGAAGCAATTATGCAGAAAAGTAACTTCTGTGTCTTTGTGCTGTACGCAACCCCAAATATTGCTGTGCAGCTCTGCCTGAAGCAGCTCCCCATTGGGGTGGCTGCTGAGCCGAAGGAGTCGTCAGCCTTGCAGTTCAAGGTGCAAGAAATCGGGCAGCTGGTGCCTCTCCTGCCTAACCCCTGTATTCCTATCAGTAGCACCCGGTGGCAAACACAAGACTATGAAGGAAATACAATTCTGTTTCAGGTATGTGTCCATGGTGCTCTGAGAGGAGGTTTTTCATTATTATTTTTTTCAAGGAAAGCAGAACTCGTTCAAAATGGAAATTTGGATTTTGCTTGTTCATGTCGTCTTTTGAATTTGTAAATGCAGTAATTGATATCTGACAGTGCTGTGATGCTGTTGATAAATAGAAGTGCAGGTCTTTAGAATGTTTTTATATTGTTAAATTAACATCATTACTGCTTGCCTGAAATTGAAAGAATTAATTCTTTTTCAAGCAGGCTAGTTTAACATCTTCCCTTCCGTGCCTGAATCAAATGATTGTAGCAGCCTATTCTTTTTTCTGATAAGTCATTATGTTACAAAAGTTTCTGGAAGCAGATTTTTAGCATCCAAAGACAGATGCATTGTAAGTATAGTGTTGATACAACATCACTTGCAATAGATTTTTGTGAGCTCTTGAGTAAATTGCGGTTGGGCAGAAGTGCCAAACAAATGTGTCATAAGAAATCTCTGCCTTTATTGTTCTAGTGTGTGGTTCAGAGGTTGTATGAATACAAAAAAAGTCTGTTCTGAGGTGATACATAGTGGGAATTATACATGTGAGCAGGAGGGCAGTTTAGCTCAGTGTGCTTTCTTTCCATTGTAACAACCCCTCCCACCTCTGATTAGTTAAATATCCAAATTATAAGAAAAAATAATTTGCCCACACTTTGCTTTTTCTTTTGCCTTCCAGAGCTCATTTGTTACAAATCAAGTTAATTATTCTGTACGGCCTATTTTTATGCTACTCTGAACACTAATTCTCAGGGCAACCTTTGCGTAATTCTCATTTAGTAACACTTTATAAACTGGTTTGCCACCCACTTGAACTGGAAAAGGCCCTGAGCATCCTCATGTAGCTTTGAAGTAGGTCCTGCCTGGATCAGGGGGCTGGCCAGGTGACCTCCAGAGGTGCCTTCCTAAATTACTCCGTGGATCTTCCTGCTGTAGATACAAGGTCTTTAAGCTGACAGATGTACATAAATTCACTGTCAGGAAATTTGGAAGTTTTTTGGGGGTGCAGCTGTGCTGCACTGTGCTCCTGGTGAAGGAAGCTGGAGTCCACTTGAACTTGAGGATGTATATCTTGTGTCTGTGCTCCATGCAGCATGCCGACAGCCTCGCACATGGCACTTTATTCTGCAGCTATTTGCCTCATACTGTAAATTTTTACTCTAAGTATCTGCAAAATATTTATTCCACCCCTCCAATTTTCTGCTTTATTGCAAACCAAATCCAAGGGTTTGCTTGTGGACTGCCACCCACACAGAGTTGTCATTCACCCCGGAACCTGCAAGAACCCTTTTCTTGTTTTTATTGGGGAAGAGACAACCCAAGCCACCTAGTTTGATAAAGAAATAAATAAACCACATCCTTTCCTTTTTTTTTTTTTGAGGAAGCTGCTCCCTAATTACTGTTCTATTCCACGTCCTTTCTCTGAGTGTTTACAGGGAATCCCTACTGCTCAGATTTTACAAGTTTAGCCCTAAGACTCAAGTAGGAGAATAGGACAGTTTCCATGTGCTGCTTTGTAAATAAAGGCATGCAATGTGTCTCTAGTCTTGCAGAGGACTGGTGAGGTGAGTGTCTTGCTCTGGGCTGGTGTCCCCAGGAGTGACATGCTGCACAGGAACAAGAAGGACGTGCTCAGCAGGTCCTGGCCCTGCTGGCCTCGCTGGTCTGAGAGGTATCTCCCTCCTGGATTAGTGTTGCCCAGCCATCAAAGGAAAGCCATTTGATCCAGAGCTTCCTGAGCAAGATTCTTTCCAAAAATACAGCTGGGCAGGATTTGCAGATGTGAAGGAGCTCCAATAGATCTGATGCCTTCAAGAATGTTCTGGGGCAGGCACAGCTATCTGTGTGGGCCGTGTTTAGGTCACCTGCAGCAAATCTGTCACGTGTGTGCATTAGTCCTGAGGGCTAGTCCTCGGAAAGCTGCCCACAAGCACCACCCACAGTGTGTGTGTGCTGCCCTCAGGAAAATCCCAGAGGTGGAAGAGCTTGACACATACTATGTGGCAATTTAAGTTATTTTGTCTGGACTGGGTTTCAGGCACAGCTGTCTGCCCACAGCTGGCCATAGGCGGCTGCCTTGGCAGGAACAGCAAGAGGACGAGTGCTTGTGTTACACCCCACCAATACACTCCCGAGCTGCCCGTTTTAAACGCGAGAGTCTTCTGAACCCAGATGTGGTAACTTGCAGTGACATTCCTTTCCAAGTGTTTATCCAGCCTCCCCTTGAATCCATGTGAACTTTTTGTATCCACAACATACTTTGGCAGGGACTTCCTCAGCTCTAGTGCCACCTTCCTTTAACTGGAACTGCCTCCAGCTGGCTTCATTTGATGGCCTCTGCTTCTTGCATTGCAAATTGCAGGGAATGGAAAATACCTATCTGTTTCTCCAGGTGACTCGTGGTGTTTTAGCTTTTTATCTTCTCCCTCCCAAACTTGTTGTTTGTTTTTTTGTTGTTTTTTTTTTTTTTTTTTTTCCCCCCCGGTTTAAAATTCTCAACATATATGATCGTTCCTTTACTGTACTGGCAATTACCCTTGTTGTCCATTTCTGAGCTTTTTCAACTCCATGATACTCTGTTGTGTGTTTCAGGTGAGGGAGAGGCACCATGGTCCAGCTTTGGGACCAGAGCTGCACCATGAATTACAACATTCTTCATTTTATTTGGAATAATTCTTAAGATTTCATTTGCTTTCTAGACTGTTGTCAGGCACTGAACTGATGCTAGAATGGTGCTGTCACAGAAATGAGACCCTGGGTTATGATCAACTCACAACCTAGCATTTCATATGTGGAGCTGGGATTGTTTTTCTCATGTGCATCATGCTACACTAACTATTCATCTGCCGTCACTCAGGCTTGTAAGACTCCTGTTCTGCAGTGGGGCTCTGGCTGACTCACGCTGCGGGTGATTTCAGCACAGCGAGGCTGGTTGAGAACATCATTAGTTGGTCAAACTAGAATGTTATGTTAATGGGGTTCTCTGTAAATCTTCTTCAACAGGTTCAAGACAGCTCCAAGCCCCGTGAAACGAATGTTGGGCTTTCCCATCAGCGTAACGCAGGCAATGAAAAAATTCTGCAGGACTCTGTCCCCGTCCCTCTCCCTCTAAAGCGGAGTAATTCTGGGTGGAGAAGCCAGGAGGTCAGAGCCACAAAGGGTAGAATAAAATCTGACCAAAGCGAAGCCCTTACTCCCGAGCAAGTCGGTGGAAGCCTCCACAGGCACTTCTCGTCTTACAGTGGTCCAGCAGCCCGGTCGTGGTGGGATGCTGCCTCCCTCCGCAAGCAGGCAAGCGGCAAGCTGCAGGCTTCTTTCCAGGAGAGCCGTGTTCGTTGGCAGGTAGCAGAGACCGACGTGGACACAGGGCTCGTCGTGGCGAATCCTGCGAGTGGCCGCTGCCCGCTGAACCGCTTCTCCAGGGACCTGCGGAGCAGCCTCCTCCAGCCGCGGGCGCCTGCGGAGGGGGCCGGCAGCACCCTGCCCTCCCAGGACAGGACCCAGCCGCTGTTTGCTGCTGCCAAAAGGAGTAAAGGAGCAGGGCAAAGAGCTTTGGGCTTCCACTTGCAAAAAACACGAGCCAGCCCCGCAAACAGGGCGGAGGATGAGGAGGAGGAATTCTTTATATGACTGAAAACAAACGTGCCAGATGGACTTGTCATTTCCAAATGACAGCAGAGCGCTCGTGTGTTCACTGTGCCTCCTCGTGCTGTGACTGCTGATGCTCAGCTTACCTCTGTAGCTGTGACAACATTTCAGTAGTGGGTTCACCGAGGTAGATGCTTACTTTCCATAGAGCAATGCTAAGCAGGAAAAATAACACTGTATTTGCAGAAAAGTTTGTTTTTTTTTTTTTTTTGCAGAATAGATTGGAGGATTACTGTGTAGTGAATAGGAATAAGCCATACGACTCCTAGAGCTGTTCTAAGATGCTAAAAAATAGCCAGTGACATCTTCAGATGGGGTTAGAAGGTGCAGTTTGCCTAAGCTGCCCAAGCAGCTGGGTGCCCCCAGGCATGGGGGATCATCATCCCTCGCCAGGATGTGTTGGAACACGGTAGTGGCATGGGCACAGTTGTTACGCTGATTTTCCTCTGTGTTCCTTCTCACTTCCCCTGTTGCTGGTATTAAAAAGCTATCAGCGTCGATTTTATGCAGCATGTGAAACATAAGAATGTTGTTTTAAAGTATTTTTGAAGAAAAAAATTTCTAGAAAGACCTTTTCCCCAAATTAGTGCAGTACGAGCAGAAGGCAAACACTTGTAGAGAATAGTTTGAGCTATGTTTATGCTCCAGTAAAACCTGCTGTTGCCTGTTCATATGACACAACAGAAAAATACCCAGCAAGGGGCCAGGCTTTGTTAGACCAGTGTGCAGTTATCAGCAGGCAATGCTAATTGGGTTTTAATTAACAGAAGATAAGAGAAATTAATAGTCTTGGAGACTGCTGAATGTTGGAGAGTAAAAAGGACAGGGGAAATGAAACAATGTTTCAGCACCAGATGCTGAAATAACTCTCATCTTGATCAAAAGTTTTCTTTTCTCAAGTGGGATTAAGTAATCTCAAAGGGGAAGAGATGAGAAGGGCATGACAGAGGAGTTAAATTATTAAAAGAAAGGCCAAATCTGATCATACTTACCTTCCAAACAGCACAACAAAGAGATATTTTCTCCTTAAAAATATCTGAATCCTGCTTCACATGAAAGATAGAATTTGCTTGGAGCATGCCTTCTCGTTGCTGTTCCTCTAGGTTGTAACTCAAGTTTGAGAGGCGGTGGCTTTTTGCGGCGCAGGGGGAGGCAGAGGGTGATGGGCAGCAGCAGAGCCTTCCTGCGAGGGGGTTCTGCACAGTTTTATGGGTATTCACGTGCACGCGTGCCAGCTGAGCGCAGCCCACGTGGTCCTGCACGAGCTCCGTCACCCGGGGGACCCCAAGCCCCCGCTGCCGGTGGCTGTGCAGCCCCGCGGGGCTGGCGAGCGGTGCCGCTGCTGGACCCCAGCTCGGGCTTTGGGAAGGCCCGGCGCCTCAGGGGAGTTTGCAGGTGCAGCCGAGTTGGTGTGAAGAGCTGCGGGTGGGAATAGGGCAGTCCTTGCTCTGTGCCTCTGCGGCCTCACAGGCTGTGCTGCCCTGGACGTGATGCTCACGTACCCTTTGGTTCAGGGACCGAAACATGCAGAGAGATGAACTTATTTCACTGGACACATACAATACTCCCTCATCTTTTCATAAGCTCCGTAGAACGTTTGGACTTTTTAATAAATCATACTGTGATATTTTACATCTATGAGGGTGATTATTTATTTTTACCTGGAAATGTAGCCAGTGCTTTTCAGAGCTGGAGAAAATGTTTGGTCAGCTAGAAAAAGCAGGAAAGAGGAGATCTTGCCAGGGGGTTTAGGGGCTCACTGTGGTATGTGCAAGGGCAGGCTGGGAGGGATGAGGAGAGAGGCAGAAGTTCAGGGTAGGGCAGCAGTCTATAAAGATGGGGTTACTGCCCTGGCAGTGGGCATGGGCAGGATAATCATGAACTCGGGAGTAAAGCCAGAAGTGGAATTCCTGGGAAAAATGGCTTTAAAGAGAGATTTCACGGCCTTCTCTCTACTCTCTCATGCCAAAGGTACATGAATGTGACTATTTAGCATAATCTCATTTTGCCTAAGAGAAAGAGGGGTTATTTAAGAGTTAAAAGGTCAGTATATAGCATGGGGGAAAAGTTCCATTGTTTAAAACAAAAAAGAGAATAATATTATACACAAGGTCCACCTCTCTGCAGCATATCCCAGAGGAGAACTGCAAGTCAAAGGAAAACTGCTCTGAAAATATTGTTTATAACAGTGAGAATATAAAATCCATGGTTTTTAAATGCAGGATACACCTAGCATAAATGCTGTATTACACAGGAAGCAGTTGGGCCAAAGGGTGCAGTTCAGCTCTGGATGCATTCAGTAGTGGAAGGCAAAGATTCACATTTTCCATAGACTGTTTGTTATATTTGCAACCTTTATTTTACATTTTTCCTTGCATACTGTACCATTTCTTTCAGTTTGGGGTTTGTTTTTTTTTTTTTTTTTAAAAAAAAAAAAAAAAGCTAATAAGAAAGAGCACATGTTGACAGGGGTCTAGTGACGCTCGATGCCCCACATGGCGTGTGATTTTCTCACAGGTGAGCAGCCGGACCCGGCGGCCTCTTGCGAACGGGCAGACATGTGAGGTGGGGGGGGTTGGCAGGGCTGGCGGGGAGCTGAGCCGGGGGCTTCTCCCTCCACCAGCTCCCATCCCACACGCTGCTCCCAGCAAAGCATGCTGCAGAAAACAGGCTTGGTGGAAAACTGAAGAGGCAGTTTGGAAAATTTATGCTTACAGGTATGATGGCATTGCAACCCTGAATGAAGGGAAATGAGGTGGATTTTTTTATCATTTGTATGTGTCATACTCAGTGTAAATGATTTAGTCTGGAAATGGTTCTGACCTAGCTGTGACCATCAGGGGTGATGGTGCTGTAGATACTGAGCTGCTGATTTCTCTGATGGACAGCAGCCAAGGTGGTCAGCACGGGTTGGCACCCACTAACCAGGATTTTAATTTTGAGATGTGCACTCTTTGAGGGTGGTGGGCACTCTGTGTTGTGCCGATCTGTCTGTTGGGCAGTGTCTTATCCAGAAGCAGGAGCACGACCCTGGGACTCGTGCGAGCCATGCCGTTGGGTGACCCCATTTCCAGGAGGGAGCAGAGATGCTGCAGTGACTGTGCTCACGAGGGATGATGGTGAACAGTCCCAGCCCGAAGGGAAAGGCTTTTCTCCTGGGCTAGTTGTGCAGTCTGGGAGGTGAGGTGGAGGGGAGAAATCTGCTCTTGTGAGAGCTGGGCAAAGCAGGAGAGCTCGCTCTGGAGTCCCTCTTAATCCAACCTGCAAGAGGTGGTTGCTGTTGCTTTTGTTGTTTCAGCCCCTGGCTACAGAAATAGTGTCTTTTGTCTCCTCTGAAGGGAGTGCAGTGGGATTTCTGAGGGGTGAGTTGCTGGGAAGGAGTGGGAGCGCTCCCGGGTGCCTGGCTACGGGCACAGGGGGGGATGCTCTCCCCACGCCTGGCACGGTGCCGCGGTGCAGGCGGGCACCCAGGCAACCCCGGCTGTGGCAGCAGCCGCCGGACTCGGGAGCGATGCCACAGGCTTGGCCTCTCCTGTTAAGGAGAAGTTGGCAAGCTGGATTCTTTCGGGGAAGCAAATGCTGAATGTGCTCTTCTTTCCCAAGTTTTGGGCCAAATTCAACTTTCATGAATGCCTTGGTAAATCCTGAGGTAGTCCAGCAAGCACAGCCGAGCTTTCCAGATTTACACTGGTGGGCCTGGGGTAGGAGTTTTTCTTCTCTCAGCTCAGGCAGGATATGCTTCATCTGTGTTGGTGGTGTGCTCTGTGCCCAGGCCAGATGAAGCTCCGCAGCCGCGCGGTGGATGATAAAATGTTGCGTGTATCAGAAATCCTGCCCTGGTAATGGGGACACAAACCAGAAATTGTCTCTTTAGCCAAAGAGGAGTGCAACAGCTCCAGCTCCCGAGGGCTGTGTCGTGGTGGGCTCCAGGCACCTACATGCAGTGCACCCACAGCCTGGGCATCGCCTCTCTGCTCCCGTAAATTGCATGGGAAGGATGCAGAGTTGCTGACTGATGGGTCCCTCCATTAATCTGCACATAGCTGTAGCAATAATGTAATTTTTTCCTCTGTTGCCTCTCTGCTTTATTACTTGAGTCCAGTCAGATGCCCCGTCTCCTCATCTCTTGATCTTTTCAGTTTGCCAGATCCCCTTCTTTTATTTTTTATTTATTTTTCCCTTTTTCCCCCATTTTTTCTTTTTTTTTTTTCTTTTTAAAATATTTTTTCTTTTTCCCCTCTTTCCCTCTGCCCCCCCCCCCTTTTTTTTAACTTTTTACACCTTTTTTTTCCTTTTTTAAAATTATTAGTATTATTCTTTCGTTTGTTTGTTTTGCTTTCGTTCCCACGCAGCCTGGCTGCCGCGGCTGAGCTGCCCGGGTGTGTGCGGGGGCTGCGGGGCCGGGGCGCGGGTGGCCGGTGGGTGGGGGTGGTGGGTGCTGGGGGGGGTGCACCCATCTCCGCCCGTCCCTGATGCACCAGCTCCGCCTGGTGCCCGCACACGGCATCTTTCCTCCGGCGGGTCCGCGCCCCGCGCTGTGCCCCGGGGGCTGCGGCCAGGGTCTCCGATACCCCTTTCCTTCAGCCCCCCACATCAGCCCCCCCGCTGCCTCCCGAACCGCCCGGAGGGCCCCCCCGCCCCCCCGCCGCGGTCCCCGGTGCCCCCCGGGCTCGCCCCGGGGCACCTGAGCTCCCCACCGAGCGAGGTCCCCCCGCCTACCAGCGTCTGAGGCTTTTAATCCTCGCTGCCATTAACATTAAATTAACCTGATATAGCAGAAACCAGTAGAGATACTAATAACAAATAAAGGCAATTTATCTCTCATTAATCCGTTTTCCCTGCCAGCAAACTAGTTAATTAAGGAGATCTGTCATGTAAGTGACAGGGAAAAATAGAGTCCTTCTTTAACGTGTTTTATTGTTTTGATGGCAGCCTCAGACATCATTGCTCTGCAACTTCATATGCTGCGTAACTGATGAGTGTACAGAAGAATTAAGATACAGTACTGGCATGCCTGTTACAGAGACGTTTTACTAAAAAAATGCTATGGCAGATCAACTTTTTAGCTGTAATCTCAGAAAAAAGTAAATCATTAGTTTTAACTGGGGGTAATTTCATTTCAAAGGTTATAAAAATAGACCTCTCTTTTCATGAATAGTTGAGCACCAAAGGATTGCTCTTGGGTTGTCATGACTTCATCCTGTTCCCTTCTACGGAGGCAATGGGGCGGGGAGCGGCACCTTTGCTGTGGTGGGGCAGAGCAGGAGGAGATGCCGAGCGCTCCGGGGTCGTGGCTGCGGGCGCTCTGTGCCTGGCTTGCAAAGCAAAATATGAATGAAGCTCAAAGGCCCTTAGGCTTGGCTTTTCGATGATAATGAGGAACAGGAAACTTCTGCTGAAACCAAAGCGAAGCCAAGGAGAGGTCTGGGCTGTAAGAGGGAGGTAGAGGGTTTGGGGGGTCCCCATGGCACCCTCTGCATGTGGCATGTGCCCTTCTGTCCCCCCCCTGCCACTCTGTGTGGGTTGGTGGTTCACCCCTCTCAGCACAGGAGCAATGGAAAGGTGTTTCAGGATCAGGAGGATTCTCTGTGCCCCTTTTTGCCAGCAGTGCCATGGATGCTGCTGGTGGGGGAGGAAAGCCACTGCCCTCTTGCACGCCAGGATCTCCCTGCCCGCCTGTCCGTCCGTCCGTCCCTCCTGGCACCTCCTGCAGCCAGGCTCCCCTCTGCAGCACCTGCATGGTGGGGGTGGGAGGTCTTGCTGCTGGGTTTTGCTAGTGAACCCTGAATAAACCTCCGAATATGTCAGGTCGGTCTGACAGGCCGGCTGGCATGGGACACGTGGGAGCAGAGTGGGAGCGTGCTCGCGTCGGGGCCGGGGGCTCAGCTTGCACGGAGCTGCCCAGCCTGCGTGTGTTCCTAGTGAGGCTTCGCTTTTGTTCTCTTCTCCAGCAAGCACTTTCATGCCAGGCTCGCCAGGACTTTCCTTTTTGTTTTCAGGGAGATGAAAACTCTTAATTCCTTCAATATTTTGGGCCCTGATACGGTAAGTGCCGAAGTCACGTCCCTACCTCAGGGCGCTGCTTGCTTGTGGGCATCAGGGAACATGGGAGAGGGGCTCAGCAGCAGGAGCTTTCCGAGGACAGGGTAGGATGTACGGGAAGGACCCGAGTGCCCCGTGTGGGCCTCAGTAAGAAACCTGGAGTATGATGTGCTTCCATTCAGCAAAACGCCTACCTGGCTGTGAGTGCTGTCCCAGCACAGGGCTGGTCTGTCCCTGTGTGGCTCGGTGCTGCGGAGGTGCTCAGCTGCTCTGTAACCCCTGCGGCCAAACACACGGTGGAGTAACACGAGAGAAAAAAAACGCCTTTTGAAAGGCCTGCCTGACACCTGCAGTACGTTCCTCGGGGTGGTAACCCTTGGGCAGGCCCCTGTTCTGCCAGGCAGGCATGCCTGTGGCCCGCGCTTCAGCAGCAAGTGCTCTCCCGGACCTGTCCCCTTCTTGGTGCCAGGCGTTCCCCAACGCCTTTGTTTTCAGGAAGAGCTGCTCATTTTCAGTGCCACGTCTCAAGCTGAACACTCCAAATCCTTAGCACCTCATTGGAAAGAAGTGTCAGGGGTATATCCCTGCCC